GGATCTGAAGCAAGAAACAGAACAAAGGGGGAAAGCAAAAAGATCTTTCTCTGTCGTTGTTTAAAGTTGTCATGAGCTTTCTAGTAACAATGTGATGTTGTCATGCTACTGGAATATCACAGACATCTTCACATCTTTGCATCCTGCCAAATAACCCTGGGCACAAGGAGGACTGGTGCTCATATCGCACACAGTGACAAGGTGTGGAGTTGTAGCAGGGCTAAGATGCAGTGATGGCCTCAGGTCAGTCAAAAGGCAGAATTCTGCAGAAGGTTTTATCCCATGCTGAGGTTTCCCTTACTGGTAGCAACATGGCAGCATTGCTCTTTGTGGGTTGGTTTTGCACTGAAAAATGTACTGGTAACAGAGGTGGCAGTTTATGGCTGTCTCAAACAGTATCAAACAGTTTTTACTTTCTGTCCATTACTCTCCAGTTTTCTCCTTCCTTTCCCAGTGTCCTTGGTCCTGATTGGAACCATCAGTATTCCTGGTGCGACTTTGTGCCCCCTCAGACAGTGGTCAGGTTCACATACTTTCTCTAAATATTGGACCTCCTACTGTCACCATCAGAGACAGCATACTTGGTTAGACAGACCATTGGTCTGACTTACTACTGCATTCCTCATATTCTGTAGTGGCAGATAAGAAAGGCAGAATTTCTTTTATGTTAGTTGCTTTCAATCTATGGAGATTTTTGTTGATGTTCTGGCCAAAAGCATTTGCTTTTTCCCCAAAATGCCATCTTTCCCTTTTTGAGAAATCTAATGTATAAAACTAAAGGGACTTTAGCTGAAAAACTCAGTTTTAGAGGAGTCAAAGGTCACCACAGTGTGCACAGGCAGTGCGATTTAGATGTCCTCTGCTCCCTGGACACTATAGGCTGCTCTAGGCTGTTGGCTGCGTTCTCACCCCAGACAGCATCTCTCACAGCACACCTCACCAACTCACCCTGGGAGAGGCAGTCCCAAGCAGGGACCTCAGTTCAGAGAGGAGAATGGGAATGGAAGGTCAGATGAGCTACATCCCTCAGGAACACTTCAGGTGTGAAATATTTCAGATTTACTTGAGAGTGCCCTGATTCTTCACCCCAAACAACCCCATCATTCCTGCAGAAATATCATGTACACTCCCCCTCTACTCCTTTCACTGCAGTGCCCTTTCTGTCAGAAGCAAAGGACTTCTACCTAATCTGGCCTACACTCTTGAGTAGCCCACTCCCTATATTTGAGAAACTATATCGTTGGCCTTTATCATATCTCCAAGTGGCACTTCTCATTCCATCCTGATGCTTTGTGAAGCAGCAAACCAAGGGCAAGGACTCTCTTCTCTGTATTGCCCTCCAAATAGAAGGATCCAAAGCACTTAAGTAGACAGAGGGGCGATATGGGTGGCACCAATTTGCCTGCATGAGGAGACTTTGTCTTAATTTTTGATTGATAGTGCCAGCCTGCTTGAACTTGAATTAGAGGGCACCAGAGCTGTGTGTTGTTCCCTGGTATGTGTACTCCTGCATGGTCAGAGAAATAGTCTACACAGCTAGGAGTCTGTCATGCTTATCTGTAGGCATTTTTGTACTGAAGGCTGCTAGGGTGATGATTATTCGTGGTTACTGTTGGTGTGGCTTGTTATTTCTCTTCATCTGTCATCCAGTGAAAAGGAAACTCAGCCCACTGTCATCAGTGCAAGGTCTTCTCTTGACTCATGCAGGCTGTTCAGCAGGTGCATGACCTTCACACCTTCTTCCCCACCAGCCTGTCCTACCTCCTACCTGTTATGTCTCACCCCTTTTTTTATTGGCTTAGTTGGTGTCTCTCTTCTGGAAGATGCATGAGGAGGACTCACAAACTGTTTGCTTGACCGGTTCTTGAGAAGCAGTCCTAAAACTGACAGTGTCCTGAGCACTTAACCTTGTAGGGTTAAATAATTGTGGGTTTTGAGAGCTTTGGGGTGAGTCAGTGGAAAAACTGGCAGCTCTAGGAAGGCTAAAACTGACTCATAGCCCAAGAAGAGCCTGAGGAACTCCAAATGCAGCTGCAGTTTAGGTAGGGGAATGGAAGAAAAGGCATTTGCATGCAATTTTGTCCTATTGCTCCAGCAATGTGACCCCACCCTGTAGCGGAGAGAGATGTCTCACACTTAACAAATGGAAACCGTATTCCTGTCAGTCCTTGATGCTCTGCCAGCTTCTCTGTCTAATGGGAGGAAAAGTCCACGCCATAGCATCAGAGACAGAGATGACTGTATTTCACTGCCATTTGTTCACCCCCAGCTCCTTTGGGATTGTTCTCTTGTGTTTTATTTAGCAGGTAGAGAGAGATGAAGAAAGGGCAAAGCAAATGAATAGAGAGGGAGGCTTGTGCTTTAACTCACAAAGAATCAAAACTAAGCTGTGAGCACATATCCCTTGGGGGAGTTTGCATTTGATAGCGTGTGTATTCAGGGAGAGGTGCTGACGTTCTCAGGAAATAGGTGCACTGAAAGCACCTGAACTAACAGTGCTCTCCTGCAGTGCTAGAACAGGCAGAAAAAGCAAAGGGAATAAAGGATTTCATTTTTTTCATAGAGTATTGGTCAAAGTCTTGGGTGTGGGTTTTTTTGTTGTTTTTTTTTCTTTTTACTTTGTAAAGTAACATTTATCTCTCCTTTTCATTTTTGAATGCAAACAAAAAATGCATTTAAAAAGACTGTTCTAGTCCTTTAGGGTGTCATTTAAGTAGGTTTTTAATCTTTCAAGTAGAGAGCTTTGTTTGAAGATCCTAAAAAATAATCAGGAAAAAAACCCCTGCTGAATGAGTTTTTAAGAAGGTTGTAGCAAAAATCCATCTAAGAAAGAAGAAAAGTTTAGCTACTGTTAAGTAAAGGCAAATTTCAGAGCAGGCAAATTTGGCACAGTTTGGCGAATGCATACCAATACCCTATGGTGGAAAGAGCAGTTGTGACAGCTTGTGTGAGAACCAAGGTAATCAAAAATGAATAAGAAGTAGTCAAAAGGACAGGAAGATTTGACTCAAGTCTGCTGCAGATATGTCACTTAGTCATGGCAACAGCAATAGTTTCTTAGTTAAAGGTACAGTGGTGGTACCTGTACCAGTTACCATCCAGCATTTTGAAACCCTCGTTCCTTTTGCAGTCAAATGGAAAGAAGGGGTTTAACTCTTAGGTCAGGGATGTTCATGTGGTAGCTTGCATATAGTATTGAGAACCTGAATTTTAACAGTGCTGAACTCATAAATGACTGTCACTACAGTCAGAGAGGAACTCCTAAGAAGGCTGTGCTTTCTCCAAGATCATCACTAAGGGAGGTACTGTCACAAGAGAGGGCACAGTGACCAGGCCATCCAGGCAAATAAAGCTTTAGAGCATGAAGTTTGCTAGGACACCCCAAAGCAGACAAGCAAGCCTGGTCCATGTTCAGCAAGCCAGGACTAAACAGCTCCATAGAGTTCTCCTAAGTGAAGGAAACCTCACAGAAGACAAGTTTTGCCAAGGAGATAGGACCAGTAACTAGATCTAATGTGTTTTACTAAGGACTGACCTTGTTTGGGTGGGAGGAATGACCTACCAGAGCTGGTTCCTTGAGATCTTGAACTCAAGGAATTCCTCATGGTCACCAGCTAATGCTGAACTGGTTGAAGTGCCATTGATGGAGAAGCCTGCCTACCTACGGTGGTTTGGGAAACTGTATCCAAAGCAGTGCAAGGAATAGCTGCAGCACTTTACAGGAATGCACTTCCACTCATGGTCACACTGAAAGGAAAGACAGGAGTGGAGAAGGTGGAGTCATCAAGTAAAAAAAGACACATGAATGGGATTTTACAAAGTTTTTTGTCACAGTTTGTGTGAAAGACATCATAAAGTACAATTGTGTTGTTACATGACAATGTTACCACACCCTGCACAAATGGTGACAGCATCAAACCTTGACTGAGTCACCTGGACCAAAATAACTTGACAGTTAACATTAATCACATACTTGATATTGCTTTTCAGTACCAGCACTACCAAAGGAAATAGCAACACAGCCCTGTGAAACTTTCTAGGAAGTTTACTGGCCACAGAGTGGACCCAGTAAGTTCTTCTGCCTGAAATAAACTCACGTGCTTCGTGTGAATTGTCTACACTCATTCTCATGGCTTAGATTTGTTCCTAGTATTTTGCTTTTTCAGGTGAGAAGACAGCAGCCTTGACAAACAGTGTCATGCAAGCTTTCTAAAGCACATTCCCCTCTCTTTCTGATCACGTGTTCATCAACGACAGGAAATGTTACAAAAAATAAAAGCTTGCAGGGTACAGAGGCAAAAAATAACCAAAACAAACCAAAGAGGAATTTGCATTACAAGAGAATCTTATTGCAGTAATAAAGTGATCTGCATGCCTCAAGTTTTAAGAGGGAAACAGGCAGTTTTCATTGCAAACCTAAGCATCTTCCTCAGCTCCAGATAACTTCAGTGGCATTTCTCTTCTGCTTCCTCTCCTCTTCACACAATGGAGTAGGGGCTGCCCCCCAGTTTACTCTCCACCACTGCTCAACACCCAATGCACTCAGGAACACATAGTCCTCCACTCCATACCACCTGTCCTTGTCCCAGACCATCTGGAAGAGGCTGTGACACCAGAGGGGAACAGGAAGAGAAAAAACCTTCCTGACCTCTGTGAATGGCATGGGCAAAAACTCCTCTTCCTAGAGTGTAGGCCTGGAGTATGGCATTTTTTACTTTATGTTAACAACATCAATGTACCTGTGTATATAATCATGCTATTTTTAAAATGCCCCCAAGCTATCTACCCCTGTTCTACACCTCCTCCCAAACCAGTTCCTTAGCCTCCAGGTTCTATTTAACCTCTTGAGCAGATTTTGACAAGGGTTTTAGTGATGGGGTTTTTTGTGCTTCCATGTTTCCAGAAAGGATTTAAGATCAACATGGTTTTTGCATGTAAATAAATGCTATTCTTCGACTCAGCCCTTCCCTTCACCTCCTCCCTCTGTTCTTGTTCTCCAGATCTCTCCGTTTCAGTGACACCACCTAGAAGGGACTCAAGATGTTGGTACTACTGGCTGGTATCTTTGTGGTTCACATTGCCACTGTCATCATGCTCTTTGTCTCCACCATTGCCAACGTAAGTAGACTGCCCTGGGTGAGATCTTCTGCAGCAGCAGCCAGCCCTTGATATGGCTGGCAGGTGGACTGGAGGGTGGGTCCTCAGGTATGTGGGTGATGAACATCTGCTCACAGTCACGAGGAGAGATGAAACAGCGATGGGTGCGCTCAGAGAGCAGGAAGGCAGACAGAGTGGTACAGGATGCAGTCTCTGTCTGTGATCTCCCCAAATCCCAGAACCAGCAGCACCTCAACACCCTTCACCATGGAGAATGCAAGTCGGAGCTGGGGAGATCAGCAGATGACAGCTCTGATGCGTTGTTGATCCCCCCAGCTGTTGGGGCCAGGCTGTTGTCCAGTGGGGTGCATCCCAAGCCAAGGGGGGCAGCCGGGCCAGGACCACCTGGCTGCTGGGGAAATCCAGGCTGAGGGGGACCCCTGGCAGCAGGGGGAGGGGGAGGCACTGCTGGGGTCCCACATGCCCCCACCGACCATCGGAGAGGATTTCAGGGTCCCCTCGCACCTGCCTGGGCAGCTCACTTAGCCCACTGTGCCCTCCCACCGCCTCGCATGGGGAGAGGGCAAGGATGACCCGGGAGACTTCCCCACATGATTGGAACAAACTTCCTGGTGTTTTGCCTGGACCAAAAACCTCCTGGCTCTGGAAGCCAGCACTTTCTCTCACCAGTCTGGTTGCTTATTGCAATCGATACATGCTGACATTTTCAGGCACTTTGGCTACTCGTGCTCACTTTATGGTTTAGTCTGGCAGAAGAGCAAGAAAACCTTCCTCCCCCTTGATGCAAGTGTTCTATCCTATTTCAGGTTTGGATGGTGAGTTCCTCCAGCTTTGGAACGATCTCAACAGGACTCTGGCTGCTGTGCAATAAGACTTGCAATCAGCTTTCAGTTAAGAGCGGTGATGAGAGTAAGTTACATCTGCATTTCCATCAGGGTGGTGAATTGCAGGACCTTGGTGCGCAACACCAAGACTGAGTCCTGACCTTCTCCAATCTATTCCCTGTGTTTTGACAGCTTCCCTCAAAGTCGTGCAAGCCTTTATGATCCTCTCGATCATTTTCTCCGTCGTGGCGCTCATCCTGTTCGTTATCCAGCTGTTCACTCTGGAAAAAGGCAAACGTTTCTACATGACTGGAGCTGTCATGCTGGTTTGCTGTAAGTATGCACATGCACACCTTGCGATGGCCCCGTGTGCATCTCATTGCCTCTGCGAACACAAGTAACCACACGTGTTTGCCACACATGGTCTTCAGGGGACATTGTCAGCCAGCTAAATGTTTCCAGTGGCCCGATTTTGTTACAAAACAAAGCACTGAGAAATTGGAAAGTGTTGGGTCGGGTTTTGTGGGTTTTTTGGGGTTTTTTTTGCTGTATATAATGAAAATGTTTCAAGATTTTCATTAGAAAATTCCAGTGGGTTTTGCAAAATACCTTTGAAAGACAACAAAAAGGATTCAAGTGTTTTGAGGGGGCAGGGGAATAAACAGTTAGACAGCTACTGCTCATGGGATTCAACACTACCACCAAACTGTCGTCAGATCTTATTACTGATTTCCTCCTAACAAAGGTTTATTCCTCATGACACCCACTAGACAATCCCCAAGTGTCTTATGTCATCACATCTGCAAAAGAAATCCTCCAAAAATAAGCCTAATGGGCAGCAGCTCCTCTCTCATACGGCACAAGACATGCATTACAATCTCGGGGGACAACAGTACTTCAGAAGTCTTGCAGCAATGCTGGTTTCAGTGCGTTTTCCAACTCTTCTTTCCTTCTTCCTTCCCACAGGGATGTGCATTCTGATTGCAGTCTCCATTTACACAGCTCGGTTCACAGGCAAGACGCAGTACGTCACAAATCCTCACCATGGCTACTGCTTCATATTGGCCTGGATCTGCTTTTGCTTCAGTTTCATCATCGGCATCCTCTACCTTGTTCTTAGGAAAAAATAAGGCTGATGGGGGTCTAGGGGAGAGGGCTTGCTACTGGGAATGGGGAAGAATTACTCTGCTGAGAGAACTGTTGGACCAATAGACAGAAACAGCCACCATCATCACCACTGCCACCACCACAGAAAAATCACTAACAAAGGTAGAATCCTGAGAAACTCCTTCACCAAAGAGAGGGAGAAAACTAGCTCCTACTCATCTCGCACTTCTGGGGCTAGAAATCTGCAAGTGACCCAGACAGCTCTTCTGCTTTTCTGCTAAGTCATGTCATACCTTCACAAAGCTTCAAGCTCAGCAGTGATGATTGAAGGGCACCACAAAAACAAAGGCTACACTTTTTTCTCTTCTTAGAGCCCTTCTCACTTACCTTTGAGTTTGCCTTGTGGATTGGGCAGTGAGGATTATGACCCCTTTATTTGTCCATTGAAACAAATGGAATGGGCCTTTTGTTACATTCTTAAATATATATATATATATATATATATATATATATGTGTGCATAGGTGAACGCTAAAGACATTAAATTAGAAGCAACCAGAAGAAATCAGATAAATTTTGTATTAAAATACCTACAAAAATAAGGCAGCAGATTTTTTTGCTGTTCTGTTTTCTATTTGACATTCCCATGATTCCCAGGAATGGCAAATATACAGGCATTGATGATGGAGAGAGAGAGAGAGAGACAGAAAGTGTGCGGGTGAAGATATGGGTTTCTAACTACAGAGGATGCAGTTGATCAGTGGTGCACATGCAGGGAGGGAATCGTCTGGGTGTGTGTCTGCACGAAAATAATCTTCTGTTCAACTCCAGAACATGGTAACAGACTGCAATATCACAGATCTTTACTGAGACAAGTTCTCATCTATAGACAGGGTTTTTTTCCCACATCATCACCTGGTACATGGTATTAATTGAGAAGCCCACCTTGTGACAAAGTTCATCTCAAAAGCAGATAATGGTTAGCAGAGGAAATGTATTCCCAAATGAGAGATTAGAAGAGATGGAGGGCTTGTGAGTTTTGCTCCTTGATGTACAACCTTAGGCCAGCCACTTAATCTGGTGCTTTTCCATCTGCCAAATTCTTCCATAGAACTAGAGCTACCTCCCAGGGTTGCTGAGAGTTTTTGAGTCCACTCTGTAATACAAGGTTCCCATATGAAAGGCTGGCATAGGAAAGTAAGGCATTGGTACTGCCGCAACCCACAATTTTCTGATAGTTCGAAGAATCTCAGTCACAAGAGGCATTTGCAAGGAATGAGGTCAAAATTCCCTGTGACTCCATTCACAGCTAAAAGGTAGAGAGTATAAAAAACCATGTCAGTGCAGATTGTGCATGGATGCTATTTACCTCTCTCTCTCTTTCTGTTACATTTTCTTCTTATGTAGACTTTATCAATTTGGTGGATATATTCTAGTACTGTATGTTGCTGTTTCATTAACAAAGGTTATTTCATATATAGTCATTGTAAATATTTTGAAATGCATATTTTTAACTTTGTGGGTATAAAAATAAAATCTGATTCCCTTTATAAAAAAGAGTTTTGCTGTGGGTTTTTTTCATTAGTGTTTCAGATATTTGTTAACAGAAGCATTTACTGTTTTCACTGAATCAAAGCCCACCCCTTTAAGATGATGCAGAACTACCAAGTTGTCTTGCATGTCAGTATATGAGATTTCCTGTTCTGGAGGGAAGGAGGAAGCAGAACAACTCTCGGAGCTCCTTTTTCAGGCTGCCTGCAAGCTCAAGCAGACAGTGTGAGCAATGGTGTCACTCGGTCTCAGCGCCAGGCTTTGCTTCACACCCAGGAGAGCTAGAAATGTACTTTCTCACTCTGACAGAATCTCATCTGTCCCAAAGTAAAATCACCGAGGTGTTTGCCTGGGTCTCATGAGTTGGTGTAGCTGTTGCCTCTTTGGCATTGTCTGGCCAAACACCTCTGAAGTTTTAGAGCTTGAGCAAAGAGTCCAAAGCCCAAGATACCGGCATATCTCAGGAAACTTGGGGCACAGTCTTGTGAGCTGTGAGGTGAGGTAAGACCTAGCAGGAATGAGCTATGTAGGCAATTTTTCTTTTTCAATTAATGCACCTCAGGGAGAGCTAAGACATGCTAATTGAAGGCAGAACAGTGACATGAATCCTTAGGAGCTGAAGTTTTACCAGGGAGGGACCTCTTACACTGCAGGGTGTGGAAAGGCTCACGGAGTGTCATGGGTGGACACTTGTCTTGGTCTCAGGAGATTCCAGAAGTCATAGAATCATAGAATATGCTGGCTTTGAAGGAAGCCATCAGGATCATCGAGTCCCAACTCCTGGCCCTTCACAGGACACCCCAAGAATCACACCATGGGCCTGAGAGTGATGTCAAAATGTTTCTTGAACTCAGACAGATTTGGTGCTGGGAGAACTGCTTAGTGCTGTGACCACTGAGTCCTGCTGTTCCTTCTGACACTTCTGTAAGTACAGGGTAACCAAAGACCATTCAGCCACTGGGGAGAAGGCTAACACTTCCAGGTGAGACATGAGCCAGCTACTGAAGTGGGAATACCCAGGGATGCTAGCCAGTGAGCTTTGCAGAAGCACACCCACTGCTAGGGTGATATCCATACCCTGTTTCTAGCATGGTACAGATCACGTGTGACAATATGATACCTCGCAGGAGGACAAGGAAATGCCAAATTTGTTGAGAAGACCAGGACAGGTCACAGGCAATGGTCTCACTTTTTGAACGGTGGTCTACAATGACATTTGCCTCACCACAAATTGTTGTCACTGGCAGCTTAGAAAGGATAAAAAGGTTACTGGACACTCTGGGTAGCTTGTTTTGCCTGAAAAAATCACTTGAGCTATTAAAGGATCAGTGCCTTAATCTACAAGTGGAAAAAGTCACTGAACCCCCTGGTATCTGACAAACCTAGTTGATCTAAGTCCCTGCAGTATAATTCATTCCAAATGAGACAGTCTTTGCTCCACACCTGGTAACTCCCACCACCATCTTCTGAATCCTGTTACATTAGTGGCTGGCAGGCAGGAATTTACATTTGGCACCATCAGGACAGAACACATCAAACAGAAAAGCAGATGCCAACAAATACGGATCAATTACAAAACATAAGGAAGCAGAAAAGGATAGGAGCAAATAGCACTATTGGTTGTGTCATAAGACAGTTGTTTGCTCAAAAATCATCTTCAACACAGCCTGAAATGGCATTGACCCAGTGCCACATGGACTGTGAGATGCAAAATCATGGCACTCCTGCAAGAACCATTACGTGGATTTCAGGGACCAAACCTCACAAGGCCCACGACCACAGCTGATCCCAGTACTTCACAGCAGTGAAGTACTTTTCCTTGGACTAGGAAAAGAAGCCTTTGAGAGAGGAGAAACAGAAGAACAAAATTCCCATGCCTCAGATTCAACTGCAGAGCAAAAGGATTCCCCCTCCCTGGTCCTTTTCTGCAGGTCACTACAAGGAGGAAGGAGTTTTCCATAGACAAACAGCTAATTCAGGGCACTTTTACTACATAAATCAGCTGCAGAAAGCACTAAACATGAGAAACAGCCAAGGACGCAAGAGCCCCTTGGACAAGAGACCCTTTTGCTCTGGCCAGAAAGTCACACTCTGCAGGCTGGGAAGAAGCAGTCTAAGTGGTCTAAGAAGCTGCTCATATTAAGGGTTTTGAAATTATCTGTACATGCTCATGGGAGTGCTGCAAAAGCTGCTGCAGACAGCTTAGGGGAGAGCTCTGCTCTGTGAATGGCAGAAGCCCAAACCAGCCAAGCAAAGTAACTGACTCCTGGCCTGATCAAAGGGTGATGACAGCACTGTGAACACAAAGGCAGCAGCACCTGCTGCATTTACGGAATGTGGCTGACTGCCAGCACACCCAGAGGAGAAGAATGGCTTGATTCCCTTGCAGCAAAGACAAGAGAGAAAATTCAAACCACCACCACCACCAATAACAAAATACAAAAAACCCATAACCAAACAAAGCTAAAATAAAAACCAGGTGTGCAAGGAATGGGGAACTCATGGGAGGTATAAAAGATGATGCTAGGAGTGGTGTAAAAGATTACGGGTCACTTCCAACACTACGATAGCTCTTCACTGCTGGCATCCAGGGAGCAATTAGCCTCAGAATCATTTAACAGAGGAAAGTAAGGTGAAGTCAGCATAACATTATCCCACTCAAAATATAGAAATGTATGTTGTGGTTTTACGAGTTGTATTTAGAAGGCTGCCTAAACTTGTGATTACTTACATTTGCAGCTCTGCCTGCTTAGATAACAAGAGCAGTCAGGGTACCAGTTGATTGTTGGAGGAACTGGGGAGGAATATTAATCGCAGACCCTCTGTTCCCGCATTGCACAGTTGGTGAGGTGCATCATTGCAGGCAGCTCAGCTCTCCCGACATTGTCAGAGCCGTAGTATTGGATTAGATACACAGTGATCTGATGCATGATGACAAATCTCATGTTGCACAATTCACTCAAAGTATGTGGGTATCTGGTATAAATATACACCTTGTCATCTGTTACAGTGCTTAGGAAACCTGATTGCCTTTCTGCTCAGCCTAGCATGGAAGGCTGTAGCTGGCAGCCTTCCTACATTCCACCCTCTCTGAGGCTTCTCATGTGGACTAGGTTAGCCAGAGACCAGAGGATTCAATCCATAGCAGATGCCTCAAGGCAAGTACAGGAGGCATGCTCCTCAATAGAGATTTATGAGAAGCCAAGATGCTTCAACTGATCTCTTAGGCTAATTCCAGTATCGCAATTTGGACAACAGAACTGGATCTATCTGCAGTGAGATCTAGGGGAAGAGGCAGTGCTGTGGAGCTCTGTCCTGTGAGTATGATAACTCTCATACAGATGAACTGGAGAACATAACACAGTCAGAGGTATTAAAGATGGGGGTGTTGTGCATGCTCCTGCCTCTCTCAACCTTCCAGCTAAATCTATAGGTTGTCAGAAGCCTGGCTTTTGGAGTTCACAGATGGATGGGACTTTTTATCCTGAGTTTTGTGGGGCATCATGGATTATTTCTTTCTCTGGAAGTAACTCCCAGAATAAAAAGTCATTTCATTCATGTGCTCACTGCGGAGCTTTTTGGGCCTTGCTCTGATGATAATACAGAGATGGAGGAGCTGAGCTGTAATTCAGTGAGTAAAAGCACTTCCTAGGGCTTTGGGAGGGTGGGTGAATCTGTGGTTCTGAGAGACAGGAATATCAAGTGAATGAGGCACTATCTTGTTATCAGAGCCCAGAAACCATACATCCACACACTGAGGCTGCTTAGCCAAGAAAGGAAAAGGTGGTGCTATAGGCATGGCCTGTGAGGGGTGGCATCAGCATGCAGCAGTGGGGCTGTGAAAGAGGCTTCCATGAACTTCTCACGCTTCAGCCCTAGTAGGTTTCCCCCATGGTCCTGGGTAATGCAGGGCTCCCTGAACTACCAACATCCATGAGTCCTAGTGATGTCCCTAAAAGCTGAGACTGCTCAGCATTTTGGAGGCACATTTGGCAGCTTCCAGGGCTGGGTCCAAAGCTCTCACCATTTTCATTTACAGACTTGGAGAAGTACAAGACAGCGTCAGCACAGCTTGTATGTATTTTCTTAGGGGGTTCTGGGTTTAAGTGGCATTAGAAGCAGGAGATGCTTCATGTACATCACATAGAGGATGATCAACTATGTGGTACAGCAAGTATCTTCTATGTGGTACAGCAAGCAGCTTTGTGGTAAAGAAACCAGAACCCCTGCCCTTAGCATCCCAGCAGTGGAAAGGACTTTCAGGCTCTGCAAGAGAGCCAGGGTGGAGAGAGGGACACAGAGGTCAAAGGCAGAGATGAAGTACTCAGGATCATCCCAGAAGCCAGGAGCATGGTTGCTACCTACCCAGGAGGGTAGACTGGCAGCGATCAGATGCCATGAAGGAATGGGGCATTAGAAAGAAATGGGGGATCAGATTTAGGGACAAGAGGGAGAATGAGATAGACAGAAAGAACAAAGACTGCAGAAGACCTGAACAGCACCGCAGCACTGGTGGGTTGGGGAGGACAAGCAGTTTAGTGAGGAGGTGCATGGAGTTTGGGACACCTGAGACCCACTGCAGTCACCTATCAAGCAGACAGATCCTCATCAGTCAGTAGGCTTGGCTTGCTTATCCAAGGCAGTAGCAGAGGCTTACATGCACAATTCTGCCAAAAACTGTTGCAAACCATCGTAAACCTTCAAGCACAGATGGAGGGACCCACACGTACCGTCTCAGCCCATTGATGGCTGAAGGCCCTGGTCCCCTGCGTTGTCACTAGAGGTCAGTGCAAGCCCAGAAAATGCCTCTGCTAAATTTGTTTCTATGTGGCACGGGCATTCTCATCCAAGGACAGTGTCGCTTTAACACAGTATAATTCATAAATGAGTACGTGCCCCAGCCCCGCTTGGAAGCCCTCGTATGGGCTCCCTTCTGGCCTGTGGCATGTCATGTAAAAGAAAAATGGGGCATCTTGACCCACATAGGAGGTGACATCATG